AAACCTTCTTTCTTTATTTTTCTTTTTTCTTTTATTTTTTTTGGGCGGGAGCAGCGATGACACTGCCTGCCCACCAGCTTTAACTGATGCTGTGCGTTAAGCAGAAGTTAGGCTGTCGGACAGAAGTTCTGAATCTATGTATAGGCCTAAAATTGAAAGTTCAGTGAATTCCAGCGTTTCAGGAGATTCTGGGATGTCAGGCAGACGCTGAATAAACCAGCAAGGTGTGACAGGAGCCTAAGATGGACCTAAAATTTTGTAGTGTTGAAGTAACACTTTAAGAGTTGAATTTAACACTAATCTGAGTGCATTTGATCTCACTCTAAATTATTAATTAACTCTCTACATAGTGTATATCTTACTCCAGTTGTAGTAATAACTCTAAAAGAGTTAATTTACCTTTGAAACTACATATTTAAACACGGTGTAAAATGCAACAGTGATGTGTGTGTGTGCATACCTGGATCTCCCAGAAGATACTCTGTGTGTGTCGGTGGTAGTAATGCCTCAGAGGGATGAACTCCACTCCACTGCGCTCTCCTTTCAGGTAGCTCTCTACATGTTTGAAGAACCAGGGTTTGAAGTGCAGGCCGATTCTGTTGATCTGGCGTCCAGGAGGAAAAGTCTGACGTCAGGTCTAGTCAAAGTCCATACAGCCAATTTACTGGGGAGCTCGCCATCACCTTACCTTATCTGGCTCTGCATGGTCGGTCATGGTTCCTGTCATGATGACGGCTGAGTCCAGGCTATACTGGATCCCCTCCACGAACGTGTTCTGCTTGTTCTGTGATGCCTCGGCGAAACGTTTGCAGATGTTCTCCAGGCCTCTGACTGGCTCATAGCGCAGCTTCACCCAAGCTTTAGCTGGGACTATTTTAATCTCTGCTGCGACCAGAAACCCCAGCGTGCCACAGGACCAGGGGACGGCATGGAACAGATCAGAGTTCTCCTCCTGTTTGGGCAAAAATCAAACTGCATTGTCCCACAAATATATTCACAATCAGAACTGACAACCTACATTCACCATGATGAAACACGGTGGTGGTAGCTATACTGGATCCTCCTGCTTACAGACACTCTCAGTGTTCTTCATACATGCAGCAAAGAAAAAGGGCTTTTCTAAATCAGCACTTTCCTGATTCTTAGTAGGAAATAGAAGCAAGATGCATCTCATCTTCTTCCCTTTAACCGTTATGTCTTACTTTGTGTTTAGTGGGACGCAATTCAGCATTTTAATCAGTCATTAAAGGGTCTGTAATCAATTAATCACAATTAATCCAATTTTAAGCAAAAACCATCAACAAAATAAACCACCTCTTTAATTCAGAAGAAACTTTTCTCCTTATTTTAAAAAAAAATAATTATAGGAGCACAACAACAACTACATGTACAGGTGCTGGTCATAAAATTAGAATATCATGAAAAAGTAGATTGATTATAGTAATTCCATTTAAAAAGTGAAACT